GCCACAGCCTCTGAGAAACTCCAGAGTAAATCTCTTGCTCTTCCTTCTGTGGCTTGGACACACTTTAAGCTGTCTCATGGATAAAGGAAAGCAAGGGCTTGCCAGCCACTGCAAGAGCCCCTATTATCTCTGTAATTTCTGACACTCGGTGGCAAGTATTTTGGCTTCATTTTATGACTGGAAACAAGCTTGGGTGGTAAGGTCACTGCCTAGAGCCATTCCGGCAGCTTAGAGTGAAAACCCAATTTTGTCCAGTACCAGATCTCCCTGTTTTCTGGTAGCTTCGATGTGGCTTCCCTGCCTTTCAAAGTGTGTCTGTTATTCGATTGGAGAGAGGGTTTGATGCCCTGGGCACTTGCATATGTTTCTGCTGTCACCCACCGGCAGAGGTCACTCCTGTTGTGGCTCGGGCTAGGAGGACAGTGGATGGAGGAGCCATCCCTGACCGGATTTCCCTATTCCTACAAGGAAGTTGAGGTCCCACCTGTGCCTCCCCAGGAGCTAGGCCGCACCCATGTTCCCTGTTCTTCCTTCTGCATGTGGAACAAAAGCACTAAACAGGATTATCTGAGGGCTGGGTGCGGCTCCTGTGCAGAACAGTGTACTCTACGCTTGGAGCTGGGGCACTGGCCTGGCTGTAGGGAGCACACTCCTTTGCCCTTCCTAGTGAATCAGACCCTTCAGCCAGTATCTCAGCATCCTCAGAGCCCGACAAAACCGTGGCCCCTGAGAGTGATTGTGGAATAGGTGGGGTCACTTTAGACCGCTGAGCTACACAGCGAGTTTAGGAACAGCCTGGGCAATTACTGCAACCCTATCTCAAAATGAAAAATAATAATAGCCGAGCATGGTGGCTCACGCCTTTAATCCCAGCGCGCGGGAGGCAGATGCAGATAGATCTCTGTGTTCGAGGCCAGCCTGGTCTACAGAGGAGTTTCAGGACAGCCAGAGCACAGAGAAACCTTGTCTCAAAAACCCAAAGGAGAAAATAATAGCGACGAAAGTCTGGGATGTATCTCAGTGATGGAGTGCTTGCCTCGCGTCCTCGGGCTCTGCTTTCAATCCAGTAGCCCCTAAAAAGAGGAGCTCGTGTTTGCCCTGCTTTTGTCACCCCAGTTCTGTGGCTCCCCAGCTGTTGAAGTGCCACCGCCGTCGCAGAGGCGCCTCGGTTGATGGTTATTAGGCCTCTGGGCTGTGGAACCATGTGGAACAGTTTGGGCAAGCGGAAGGGTACAGTTCGTTCCTTCTGGTTACACAACAAGCCGGGTTTCGGCCAGAGCACAGGCCCTTCCCACTGCTCCCATCAGGTCACAGCGGGCTTTTCTGCCTTCCAACGCTGTGTATGTTTATCAGCTTTAGAGGGAAATTTTAAGTCTGTAGGTAGCCAGAAGGACAGGCACTGAGTTCACTCAGCTGGTTGGAGAGGGACTTTCCTCTAAAATTTCAATCGAAATAGCCTGTATTATTTCTCCAGGCGTTTCCCTAACAGGTTGTGTTTTGTTTTGTGGTGTGTACTAGGGTTAGGGTGGGAGGGTTGGCACTGATTTTTTTTCTCCCCTTTTGATTTGAAACATTGAAAATAGTGTTGGGGGTGGGGCTCAGTATTTGAGTACTTTCTTACAGTCCACAAGGCCCTGGGCTCTGTCTACCTTCTAAACAGTTTGAAGACGCAAAATGAAACAAATTATCCGGTTGCCACAAGCTGAATGGATGAGGAATGGTGACTTCTTACTAGGGAGGCTCCCTTGAGTCTAGGACTTTGAAACCAGCCTGGGCAAGATAATGAGATCCACCCCTCGAAAAATGGAGGACAGGGAGGGTATATTAAACTCTGGAAGCTTCCAAAGACTAACCTGAGCAAGCAACGTGGCTTTCCTTCATTCTTACTTCTGATTCTTATTCTTTACCATGACCTGGCACCAAAGGCTGAATTCTTACTTCTGTAATACACAACCAATTTAGATCTAGCCAGACTTGAGTCCTCATTTAAAGCACCTCAAAGGCCAGCCTTCAGCATTAGTTGGGCCTCAGTTCTGGTCTTCTGCTGCCTGCTTCTGCCTACCTAGTATTGTCAACATCCATGAGTCACTCAGCATGCTTCTGCCTGAGGCTCCATAACTGTGAGGACAGCCTGGTGCCACACACACAGGAGACAGACACAGCTACACGCTGCCTCCTGAAGGTGCCTACAGTTCTCTCAGAGGCCTCCTCTCACTTGTCACTCATAGCCAGGCTCCTGGGAAGAATTTTAAGAAAAGTTGAAGAAAAGTTGGTGTTTATCAAGAAACAGGTTCAGCCAGGCAGCGTCTGGGGAGTAACAGTGTCTGGTGAACGAACCTGTGGTCCCAGCACCTGGGGTGGTGTGGGTTATCTTTGGCTACTTAAAGGAGTTTAAGGCCAGTCTGGGCTACATGAGACAGTAATCTCATGATTGTGTCTTAGCAATAGTGATATATGTGATATCGGTAGCTTCTGAGGTGCCATTTTTAAAGGATTCTTGTAGTAAATGAGACCATAGATGGGTTCTTAAGCTGTAGGTCACAAGGGAAAAAGGGGCTCTAGCACAGGGAAGCTAAGACATTTTTGACTATAAACAAACCTCCTAACCTTGTTGGTGAGAACCACAGGAAGTCACAGATTACAACTAAGAAAGGGATACAATTAACGGCAAAGGTCAAAGCTCAATATGCTTTGGCCTTCTACATAGTTCATTCCTAGTTTAATATTCTCATTTGAAATATCTCTGTAAGAAAGGAATGTTGTCTCTATGAGGTAGTCTCCATAGCAGACTTTGATAATTGTGCTACTAGTGAGAGATTTCCGACCAGCCTCTCCCTTCCCATGGCGCTTTAATTTCCCCTTTCTATCCTGCTCCAAGGATTTTCAGAAAAGCTCCTGGATGACTAGTCTGAGATTGACACACATACCCCCTCCACCCCTGAAGGGAGGAGGTCTGCGTCTGTGTCTCTGTGTGTGTGTGTTAGTGCAGAGACCAGAAGAGGGCATCGTGTCTGGATTTCAAGTCACAGGCAATGGTGAGCTGCCCAGTATGGGTGCTGGGAAGCAAGCTTGGGTCCTCTGGAAGAGCAGCATCTGCCCCTATCCACAGAGCCATCTGCCCAGGCCCGAGATGGTGTTTTAATTGCTTACTGCACACTCGTGGTGAGGAAGGACGATGAGGACAGCGTGGGCTCTAATTTAGCTTTTTAATGTGATGTTTCTAAGTGTTGCCAGTTAGCTCAGTCTCTTATGAAACACAGAGCTGCTCCTGCAGGCAGCTTGCCTCTCCTGCTGGGAAACAGGGAAACCCTGGGCTTGGGTGGAATTTTCCATGACTCTGTGGCCACAGAGCTTTTCTGCAGTGCAGTGTCCGCCTGTGTTGTCCGTTCCCCCACCGCTCTCTGTGTGCATGTGTCTGTCTGTCTGTCTGTCTGCCTGCCTGCCTGTCTGTATGAAGCCTTACTGATAGGCTTGCTATTGTGTTTATGTTTAATACCCTAGTTCTAAGGGTGATCAGAGACTCATCTGAATTAACTCTTTGTTTGTAAAGTGAGTCAGCTTAAAGTATCTGTTTTGGCCTGGTTTCCCTCCGTATCACGTTTCTCATCACAAACCAGCCCTTTGTGGGCCGGGGAGCTGCACACACCTTGTGTCTGTGGGCACCGGCTCCTGACGCTGTGCTGGCTGCTTCGCCAGCAGACTCTCCATTGGTGATTAGAATCAGCCTTTTGGTTTTATGATTGGAAGGATTTCAAAAATGACAGCCAAAGGAGGAAGAGACCCAGCCTGGTAATGGCCTAGTTGGGTTTGGCTGGTCCCCTTCTTGAACTGGAGTTTAAGAAGAGATCACCATAGTTATCTGTCTCCTTTTCCTCAGAAAGCAACTCCCTAGACTACATTCAAGAGATCGATAACATGGATTATGCCACTGAAACTCATTCTTCTAGGGCCTGTTTATCAGTACTCTGCACCCCACACTTACCCCACCCCTCCCCTCCATAGACTACCTGGATAAAAACTAAAGGTAGTGTGGATTTGGCATCAGTCCGGTGTCTTCAGATGTTCCATTCTTGCTTAGTCACCCTTTCAGCCCTGTTTCCATCCCCCTCCCCTGCTTTTCCTCTCTCTAGCAGTTACCATCTGATATTACATAAGATCTCTGAGGACCAACGTGTCATCTTCCCCGAGCTGCTGGGGCCTGGGACCTAGTAATTGCTCATTAAATATTTGCTCAGTAAGTAAGACAGAATGGTTGACTAGCCGGACACCTGCAGGCTGCTTTTCTTGTTATTCCTTGCTTTTGTCCTTAGCCTGGTTCTCAGATGTCACTGGGCCTGTGAATTACCTTATCAGATACAAAATGGCTTATACAGAACCTTGTGAACAGCATAAGAAAAAACTGTGCTACTTTTGTTTCTGAGATAAAGTGAGATGCTTGCATTTCCTCTGTAATTGTGGGTAATTCAGAGGCGCACCTTGTGATTTAGATGCAGAAGTAAATGCCCATTTGGTTCACTGTGGTAGGGCACACAAAATGCTTTGACATGTTTTATTGTGATAGTGATTAGGAACCTCGTGGGCTGAAACCAGATCTTAACTGTACCACTAAAATAGTTCCTTAATATCTGCACGCTGGAGAAGATACATCTGTTTTGCCTGGAAGTTGCAACAGTAACAAACTGTGCGGAGGTGAAGGGATGGTGTCGATGGGTTGGTGGCAAAGATGTCTTAAGCTCAGATATTCGGCAGTTATGAAGTCGTGGAGAAGAGGCAGACTCAGCTGAGGTGGAGCCGCCCTACTTTGTGGATTGACTCAAATGAAGACACAAAGCACCCTGGGAGGTGTTCTCAGGTCCCAGGGGAACAATTCGGAGTGAAGGCTTGGTCAGAATGGACTACACTGAAGTTGAACTAACGTGGGTTTTTCCATCATATATGAAAATGGTTGTATTCTAGCCAATTTCACAACTCTCTGCTTTTGTTCCTCCCATGAATTTTAGTTGGCTGATTGCAATTCTGGCTCAGCTCAATCCTCTGTTTGGACCTCAGTTGAAAAACGAAACCATCTGGTATCTGAAGTACCACTGGCCTTGAGGATGAAGACGTGCTGCACAGTGCCCAGGCACTGAGGTGATTATGCCCTTGCCCTTTCCTGTGACCGTTGCTAGCCAGTGAGCTACAGTGTTTGCTATGGCTTCTTCCTCAAAGACAGCTGAAGAGCAGACTGGTTTGAAGAGATACATACATGGTCTAAAGAACGAGGTCACAGTTAGAGCAAACCATTCTCTTTGAGTATATCTTAGGGACTTATCCGTAAGTTTCTCTTAGGTTCCATGATTACCCTGCCCTTTTATAGTGTACTTTAGGGCTGGAGAGATGGCGCACAGGGTAAAACCACTTGCTGCCAAGCCCAGAGACCTGAGGTCAATCTTTGGGACGACCCCCCTGCTGGGACTGCCACTTGTTCTCTGATATGCCTGTGTGTGGTTCATGACAGTAAACTCACAGGCGGGCTTCTGACAGATTAGAAAGTGAGTATCCTTAGTCTAATAACACCTAGCAACAGGAAGAAGTGGCTAAACTATTGAAAGTTAATGTCTTAGAATGCTTTGGGAAGAGGGAGACAAGCAGCTTTTGAAGGTTGGGAATTGTATATGCCCATGATTCTGGCACTGATTTCAGAGGCAAGAGGATGATAAGTTCAATGCCAGCTTGGGCTACATATAGCTAGTTCCAGACCAGCTTGAGCTATAGAGGGAGGAGACCTTGTCTCAAACAGCACAGAACAAAGAGGAAGCTGACTCTCAAGACTGCCGCTTTTATTTGATGCTGAGACCAGGTGGTAAACAGCGGCAGCGTGCAAAAGTTTGTCCACTGGCTGAGTGGCAGGCCACTTGTCACCCGATTCCTTCTTCTCTGTTAATTTATTAAATGGAAGTTAGCGTCAGGTGTTCAGAACAGAGCCGAGCCATATTCTCAGCCTGCTTTTAAAAACGATTTATTTATTTTACTTTTATATGTATGAATGTTTGCCTGCCTGTGTGTCTATGCATCACATTTGTGGAGTGCCTGAGGAGGAAAGAGAAAGACTGCTGTTTGCCTAGAAGCTTTGCAGAGTTCTGGGCTGTGGTGGACTCAGCTTTTGACACTTTAACCTAAGGTGTCTGGTTTGAACAGCACACTCCTCGAGACGTAATGTAAGATGTATGCTCATAGCTTTGGTCAGGGTCACCAAAGATCCCTTGAGTCTCAAAACCAGGAACGTGAAGAATGAGAACATTTGATCTGAAGGTTCTGAGCAGCTCTCCACTGTGGCCTCCCCTCAAGGCCTGCCTAGCCTGCCCTGGGACTGCCTTTCCTTCTTTCTTCCCGCTCTGCTCCTGACCTGGAGGTTCCGGGCCTGATGTTTCCACAGTCTTAACCTGGCAGCGCGCTTAGCTCTCCTGCCTCTCACTGCCCCACTGCATTCATTGCACTTAGAAGGCCAGTCAGCAAGCGCATGTCTCTGGACGTGGCCTTGGCTTTGTCTCAGCCCCCACCAGCTCCTAAAGCTTCAGATGTTTCAGGGCTCAGCCTGCGAATCCTGTGCTTGCTTCCTGACCATGGTTTCTACTTGAGTTCTTTCATCTCTAGATGGTTTTCTAATTTTTAACCACTCTTTTGGTACATTCCCTTAAATGGTTAAATGCCTGTGGTAACTGACTAAGTCTTGTAGATGAATAAAACTGCCTTTGCATATTATAATAAAGAATGGCTTGAAATTTTATCTAAAATAAAGATTTAGAAACAAGAGTTAGACAGACAAAGACACATTCATTTACATACCCTTTTTGAATGAGTTTCTTCATTCTGGCCTTGTTTGTTTTTGTTTTTGTTTTGAGTTGGTTGTTGGTTGGTTGTTTTTGTTTTGTTCTTGTTTATTTGTTTTGTTTGTTTTTGGTTGTTTGCAAGACCAGGTTTCTCTGTGTAGCCCTGGCTGTCCTGGAACTCAAACTGTAGACCAGACTAACCTTGAACCCATGGAGATCCATTTGAATGCTGTTATTAAAGGCGTGCACCACCACTGCCCAGATGGTCTTGGTAGTTTTACGTTCCAGCTTCTCAGTCCCTTCCCCCATCACTGTTCTCAGGTTTTCTCTTGGCTACCCTAGTGATTCCTTTGTTTTACACACAATGCTGTGAATTCTGGATTGTTTGTTCCAGCTCCATCCACAGCTAGTTATTTCCACATCATGGAGAGGATTCCATACTTCCTAGCTCATCCAACCACAGAACCACGCCTTGACCACCACACTTAACTCTAGTTTAGCTGTCACCAATGAAGATAAATAGAAGGTAGTTCCTAGTTGTGTGTGTTTATTAAAAAGTAAAGGTCATTTTCCTCCTTTGTGATTCTTTCTTTAAAAAAAAAAAAGCCAAAAGAAAGGCTGGTGAGATGGTCCAGGAGTTGAGAGTACGTGTTCTTCTTACAGAGAGCCCAAGTTCAAATCTTAGCACCCAGACTGGACCATGCACAACGTCCTGCAACTCCAGTTGCAAGGGATCTAGTGCCCTCTTCTGGACTGTGAGAGCACTTGTGCTGACATGAGCACGCGCGCACGCGCGCACACACACACACACACACACACACACACACACACGTAAAAATAAAATGCATCTTTAAAAAGTCCAGAGGGTAAGAAAGTCTGTCTGTGCTGTTCATAGAAGATTCCCACAGAAACATCTGCATTCTCAAGCCTGCTTTATCATCTGCCTAGAACAGAGTGTCTACAGAGCAGCTATTCTGTCAGCCCAGGCCCAGGACAGAAAGTGACCACAGGGACAGTCTGCTCTGACAGTGTCCACCTTAGCCCGGTGCTCCTCTCCTAGCGCACTGTAAAAACTGTCCTTGAGTTAATCGCACTTTCCTCTGTGTTTTCTGCTGCTGGGGGTTGAACTGAGGGTCCCGGGCACGCTGAGCATGCCCAGCCGTCTGCCAGGCACAGAGGTGCTGCCCTCTGTGAGGGAGCCACAGCCCCGGACCTCCTCTAATTAAATCTTGAGTCAAATGCATATTGTTTGCAGTATCCTGCACTGGGACTTAATGGGACTCCAGAAGGTGGCTGTGAGCGTGTGGGTGGCATTGCTGGGAACCAAGCTGGGCTCCTGGAAGAGCAGCAAACACTTGTCTTTTTGGTTGTGAGCCCCGCTTTAATGGTGGAGCCACCTCTGCAGCCCAGCAACAAACCCTTTCAACTGCTGGGCCATTGTCCAGCCCCACTGGACACCTTAAGGACATCCTGCTCCCAGTGAGCAGCCCAGCATGTAAAGATAGCGACATTTGCCATCCTTAAATGGGTGGCATCGTCGTTGTCACCTGTCCTTGGGGTACCATGATGGGGAACAGCCTGAAAGGCCGCCTGGAGTCCTGCAGATACAACACAGCTGGAGCTTGCTTGTTAGGAGGCCCGTGAAGGCAGAATGGAGGGTGTCCATATTGGCATCCAGCTGTCTGTCCTGACAGGGAGGTGAAAAGTACAGGAACACACTAAGTGCCAGCTCTGTGTTGGTCAGCTCAGTGGCTCCTGCTTTTGGCAAGTCACATTGCTGTCTGTGTAGTTATGTGAGAGTAACGTCACTGGTAATTGGACCTGCTCTAGAACCTACTCAAACCTGAGTAAGCCAGTTTCTTCATCTGAGTTTTAAAAGTATTGGTCTGATTAGCTTTGCGTTAGGGAGAGGAGGATGAGACAGTCTCACTGTATTGCCCAGACTGGCCTCACACTTAGCATCTGCCACCTTAGCCTCCTGGGTGTACCGTGCCCAGCTTTGGTTAAATTTTCTTAATACTAACTCTATCCCTAATCCTCCTTTCTACTTTTTATTTTTGAGACAGTGTCTCACTGTGTAGCTCTGGTTCAACTGGAACTAGTTAGAGACTGGCCTAGAACTCGGAGAGATCCACCTGCCTCTGCATCCCAAGGGTAAAGTGTGTGCCACCACCACCTGGCTCACTTTTTATTTTGAGGGTATCTCACTAAGTTGCTGTGGCTAGCTTTCTGATTCCTTGCTCTGTCTCCTGGGTAGCTGGGGTTGCAGGCCTGGCTGCTTTCCTATTTTCTCTTTTAGCTCTCCTCTGTTCTTTGCTGTCCACCACTTTTAAATTTTATTCGTACAGTGTTTTGCTGTTTTGCTACATGTATGCTGTAGCCTTGGCTACTTTTAGTTCTTGTCCCTGTCCCCACACCCTACCCCCTTTCTTAAATCCTGTGTACATGTAGTGCCTCATCAGGTCCCCTAGGACTGGAGTTACAAATGGTTGTAAGCCTCTGTGTCTGTGCTAGGAATTGAACCCAGGTCCTCTGGAAGAGCAGCCAGTGCTGTTGCTGAGCCATCTCTCCAGCTCTTTTGCTCTTTTGAAGGAAGGTGAAGGCCTAGGTGTTAGAGGCCCTTAAGTTACTAGAACGGTTTTGTTTTGCAGGTCACAGACAGAAGCCTTCTATGCAGAATCACCTGCACACCAGACCTCCTTCCTCGGTAGCCTACTTCCACCGTTACCTGCCTTACACTTGAAGACCTTCCTCTGCATACAGTATTTTTTTCCTTCACCTTTTTTACACTTTGAATTATGTGCCTACGTAGCTGAGAGAAAAGGTGCCGTTCTGGGAAATCTGTTACTCTTGTCTTGAAGCCTGCGGCTTTGACTATGGCTCTTGCCAGCTCACAACGTGAGAGTCGGGGATGTGCTTAAGAACTGCTACAAGACAAATGAGACTCGGTGGGACAGTCAGGAGTTCTCCTCAAGAGACGCTCGACCCCAGCAGATGTACACCAAGCTCTATTTTCAGGATGAATTTCTTACTTCTACATCTTTTGGAATAAATTATTTTTCTTCTTTCTATGGAAATCTGGCTCCAGTGTTTAAAAAGCTCAATTTTCTAAGCGCCTATGTCTCTAGATAATGCCTTTCCGAAATGAGGTTGTGTCTAACCTTAGGTTGGATGTATAATCCATCCGGGCCCCATAGTTTGAGACGTGAAGAGACTGGTAAGTACTTTTCTTGATCATTCATTCAGTAACTGTTTGAGTGCCTACTGCAGGCAAGGCATTGGAGGAAGCAAAGATGTTGGAAACAGGTTCCCTGCATGCTCATGAGCTCACGGGTTGTTTGGGGAGAGATTGTTCATATGCATAGAGCTGTCGGATGACGTCATGCTTGACCTTTGGTGAGAGGCAGGTACATACCACTTAGTCCCTGCTCCTTGGGCTGAGATAAGAGGGCCACTTGAGCTCAGGACTTGGCAGCCAGCCCAGGTAACACAGTTGAGGGCAATGTCCAGCCACAGGGACAAGATGGTAAAAATGGCTTGGGTACGGTTGTCCCATTCCCAGAAATCGGATAAAAGAGATCTAGACTGATAAAAGGCTTGGGTTGAGGATGTTTTAATAGCAGACATCTTAATTTGCTAAGTTAAGGATGTGTTAGTTTTGTTTTGCCGTGCTGGATTGAACAAGGGTCTTGAACATACCGGGTTTTCAGAAACTCAAAATTAAAATAGATTGAATTTTCATCAGCTCGCAGTTCTCTGACAGCTAGCCAAGAGCTATTTCCTGTTTTGCAGTGTGTGCTTTTCTGGTCATCCTGGACTGTCTGGACTCGTGGCTTCTGCTCATAGGACCAAAGAGAGTTTCAAGTTGAAGTGTCTGCCTTGCTCCCTTACACTGACACAGAGTCTGAGTTCAGGCTGGACAGGGACTCACTAGGCTGACCTCAATCTTATGATCCTCCCGCCTCGCCCTCCAGCTGTCTTCTGCTTTCGTTTCTGTATTTCAGCTTTGACTCCACCCTGCTTTCTACCCTGTCTGCATACCAGGGCTTGAAGCTAGGGCCTCACACATGTGTGTGGTGTGAGGTATGAGGTGTGAGGTGACTCACATAGGTGAGTGCTCTGGCCCTGAGATATAGTCAGAGCCCTTTACTGTCACTGAACTTAAAAGTTTGTCTACAAGTTTGCCTGGGGATTGTAGCTCAGGTAGAGGGCCTAGCATGTGCAAAGGCCTGGTTTCCTCTGAGTCCACCCTCTTGTGTCCCCCCCCAACACACACACACACACACACGCACACACACACAGAGTTCTTTTAGAGTTAGGTACCTCCATGCTTTGTATTTCCAACCAAGAAGCCTATTTTTTATACTTAAGTATTTATAAATATTATAAATGTAAAAGTGTTTTTACTACATGTATTTATTTGGGGGGGGTGGAAGGAAATGCCTTGATATGCATGTGGAGGTCACTTGCAGAAGTTGGTGTTCCCACTCTTTCCACAGTGTCAGTTACAGGGATTGAACCCTGGGTTGTCAGGCTTAGCAGCAAGCACCTTTACCCACTGAGTCATCTCAGTGGCCCACAAAGAACCTCTTTAGTTAGTTTCATGGAATCTACAAAACACTAAAGAAAGATTTGAGGTTGAAGTTGCCATGGTAATGTACATGAGTGATTTGTCTTCATGTATGTTTGTACACTCTGAGTATGCCTAGTACCCTTAGAAGAGGGCATTTGATCTCCTAGAACAGGACTTACAGATAGTTGTGAGCAGCCATGTGTGTGCTTGGAACCAAACCAGGGTCCTCTTACAAGAGGACCAAGTGTGTTCTTAACTGCCGAGCCATCTCTCCAGCCCCAGGATCTATGCTTTAGAATTTCCACCCTAAAGTACTTTGTCCCTGGCCACCCACCTCTGCCTCGCTCAGACTGGCCAGTAGCCTGTTCTGGATATCTGGTTTGGAAAGGAATCTGTCATGACAGATCACCACACTGTCTCCCCCTTGAGCAAATGTGACCTTTAATGATTCTTTGTCATGAAGAAAGTGACAGCAGGTACACAGGGCTCTTCGGGCTTCAGCTCTAAGCACTCAGAAGTGTTAGCTGCCATAGCCGTGTGCCCACGGATTCCCTGAGAAGCCTTGCAGCCCACTCACTGATAATCCATCCAGAACCTTCTATTTCCCACTGTGTGTCCCCCTCTCCAGCAGACCGAAGCATCTGCCCAATTGTTTGCTGCAAAAGACACAGTGTCCTTGTGTTGCCGAGGCTACCCTCCACTGAGTCCCTTTCCGTGCCTTCGAGGTAGGGTTCTTGAAGCTGCATCACACTTGATCCTGCAGGGATAGCTGCACTTGGCCAGGTGGAGAAGAGCATTAGCTGTGGCGTGCCCTATAGTGAGGGTGGGGCGCAGTTTTGGGGGTGCTTCTCATGGCTGACTGGCTTAACGGCAGCCATAGTTGGAGACACTCACAGCCCCAGCTGACCTATGGCTGAGGGTTGTCTTTACTGACTTCCTTTTACGCTTCTCCCTTGTTCTAGTTAAATTACTCATCAGGAAGTGGTCTGGATTACACTTCTGGTTTGCTTGTGATCTCGTTTCCAATTTGGTGGGGTTGCTTCCTGCAGTCATCTGTGAGGATGGTTGCCATGTTATTACCTCTGCCCACAACAGTGTCAGTGGTGTGCGTGTGGAGGAGTCCGGAGCTGTACTGGGCCAGCCAGGTATTGATTCTGAGGTAGGGACTGTCTTGCTCCAGAACCCTCAAGGGACAAGAAAGTCCTGTACCTACAGTGTTGTCTCTCCGCCTTTCTGTGACTTTTCTTCTCTGAGGCCTCATAGCACCAGTGTGAAGCAGGAGAGCATGAGAGGTGAAGAAAGGAATTTAGCCAAACTGGAGATGGAAGACTTCTCAGAAAGATTGCTTGTAAGCTTTGAAAGGGCAGATGCTGTTCTTGTCACTCAGCCATGTTAGTGGCTTTGAAATAAAGGGGTAATGACATCTATTCAGTTGGAGGGGAAACTTTGGAAGGTGTTTTCGCCCAGGAAGTCAGTTTATTCTTGAGCTCCAGTTTCTTCATTTAAGACATTTTAATTTCGCCTGTCTGTTTAGCATGCCGGGGTGCCTGCCAGGGCTGCCCTCCACTCACCTCATGGTTCTTTGTCAATGTGAAAGGGTCAAGCTGACCTTTGAACTCTGTCCTAAAAGGTGGGATTACAGGTGTGAGCCAACACACCCAGCTTCTTCCCTCCTTTTCTATTATGCAAAGCTATTACCAAATGAAGTTGAGATGGTGATACTAACCTGTAAAGTGTAATAATACACACAGGATATTTGCCCAGTAAATGTCCAAATCCTCAGAGCATGCTGCTAGTACTTTCCTGTTAGAATAGGAGGGCCCAGAGAGATAGCCAACTGGATTTTCTTTTTTAATTCCTACCTAGATTTCCCTTTTGATAGGTCATTTGACTTAGAGGGCTCCAGAAAAGTCAATAAAAGGCACCTGTGCCTGGCCTAAGCACTGAGATCATATCATGAGTGGTTGGACCGCACCCTTCCTGGCTTGCAGATTCTACTACCTCACCTCAGGGATTCTAGTATCATTTAGAAAAGCCTTTCAGTTGCTATGGATGGACCCCTGTCCATCCTGTCTTAGCTCCCTGAGTGCTGAGGTTTTAGACATGGCTACCACACCTAGCTTCTGAAACTGTTTGAAATTATTGTTGAGACCCTGAAAACTGATTGGATTTTATTTTCCTGAACATAAGCGTCAGTGCTGGGGCTGGAGACATGGCTCAGCAGTTAAGAACACTGCTGCTCTACAGAGCACCCAAATGTGGTTTCCAGCACCCACCTGGTGCCTCACAACTTCTGTAGCTCTAGTTCCAGGGGATCTGATGTCCTTCCCACTCCACAGGCAGCAGGCATGCATATGATGCATGTATGTACATGTATGTAGGCAAGCACCCATATATATAAAAACAAGTCTTCCTTTAAAAAAGTCAATGCTTCGTTAGATCCAGGCATTTTTAAATGACTATAACTCACACAGATATTTGAGAACAGATGTATTTACAGTATAAATGAAAACTTAAGCCGCAAGCATTTTTTCCATGCTACATGTCTTCTAAAAGCTTTCTACTTAAGTGGATGAAGTTGTAGAAAATCCAGAATTTTAAAAAGAAAATGAATTTTAAAAAGAAAATGACCTGAAGTACTACATAAAGGAAATTTTTGTCATGGAACAGCTGGAAACAGCATTGCTGTCCTAGACCAAAGGCTTATGGAGACGATGTCAGCTGAGTGGTGGTGGCACATGCTCTTCATCCCAGCACTCAGGAGGCAGGTGGATCTCTGAGTTCAAGGTCAACCTAGCATACAGAACAAGTTCCAGAACAGCCAGGGCCACACCGAGAAACCCTGTCTCAATGAAGCCAAGAATGAATGAATGAATGAATGAATGAATGAATAAACAAAGGTGTGGTAGTACACAGTTAGTACAGATGAGGGGAGAGCATAGGTAAATAGAAGCTGTCCCTCCTAGGCCACATTTTAATAACTGATCTGTTCTGTTTAAAATTGTCTCTCAAGCCGGGCAGTGGTGGCGCACACCTTTAATCCCAGCACTTGGGAGGCAGAGGCAGGTGGATTTCTGAGTTTGAGGCCAGCCTGGTCTACAGAGTGAGTTCCAGGACAGCCCGGGCTACACAGAGAAACCCTGTCTTGAAAATAAGTAGATAAATAAATAAGTAAATAAATAAATAAATAAATAAAATTGTCTCTCTAGAAGAGACTTGAAAGAGAAAGAGCAGAGTAACATCTGTAGTAGTTACTTTTCTATCCCTATCATAAGACATCACGACCAAGGCAACTTATGGAGGGGAGGGTATATTGAGTTCCAGAGAGAGAAGAGTCCATCACCGTCACTGGCAGGAAGCGTGGCAGCAGACAGACAGGCATGGTGCCAGAGCAGCAGGTGAGAGCTTGCATCTGACCCACAAACAGGAAGCAGCACACTAGGGATAGTGAGAAGCTTGTGAAGCCTGAAAGCCCACCCGTAACACACCTCTTTCAACAGCTTC